ACCTAACAGGGGCCTCTATATTCGGTAATTTGTCGACTATAACAACACAACGAGGGGATATTGCAGGGTTAGAGAAAATAGAAAGTTGAGAAGCCATTATAACAATGAAGAAAACTACAAGTAGAGAAGAGCAAAAGAGCAGAAAGGAATTCAAGGAAGAAGACGAAGGCAAGAGAAAGTAGAAAAAGGTTTGAGAGCTCTTGGCTTCGTATTTATTGGAAGAAATTACGTCATCATGAGACTATCACTTCGAATTCACAGAGTCTCAGTGCCTAAAAGATCGCTGCAAATCGCAAAACCACTCATATATACCACGTGAGATTCAAGTGATACAAAAGAAGAGCTATTCTCATCAATAAAAATTCTCTTTCCTTTTATATTATTTTTCTATTATTTTGCTCATTTATTTATATTCTTATTATTCTTATTTGGAAAAGTGAATCAAATCGGTTGATTTGAAGTGTTGATGTAATTAGTTTAGAAGGGGGATCATGTTCGTATCGAAATTCAAAATCTATTTTACAATACATCAAGAATTTTCTAACATGCCATCTCGTGCTATTTGGCTTTTGCCTCCACTTCCCTTTGTCCCAATGGAAAAAATATACAGTAGGAAAATAAATTATTGTTGCGACATACCTCTATGTGAAAATCTGGAACAATGTACATTTTAAAAAAACCGAACAGATCGATGAAAAAGACAAAAATAACAAGTCGATCATGCGGAATCTAACAAAGCAAACATTGACAACGATACATTAAAAAAATATACCAAACGAGACATAACAATTTATTATCATTTGGCCAATTGACCTACATATGATTCTTCACTAATATAAAAGAGAAAATAAAATTTTTGAGAGAACAGTCTCCCCTAAACAAAACTCTTTTAATAACTACATTGTTGATGTTATTGTGTTATTCTGTGAGAAATAATGATCTTCAATTTATAGAAGGCCAAAAAATTTTCTCTAAGAAAAAGATTCATCAAGTATAGAAGATTTTTACCTTTTTATTTTAGAAAAAGTAAAATCAATTATGGTAAATATTTTACCTTTTCTTCAAGTAACAGGAAAGTCAAAATATGGTAAGAAAATAGAACAAACACTAACATATATTTGGTTCTGTTTAGTTTATGTATGTAATGATTTTTATTTAAGAATAAAATAGATCTATGTATAACCCAATTCTAAAACTATAAATAGTTAAATGTTATGTGCAGCTACATCCCTTCTTACCAGCATCAAACTATCAAAATATTATCAATATAGCCTAAAGGAAACGCCAAGAACAAAGGAGAAGACATGCATTTTCTCTAGATGGCTAAGCTTATAATTTCTGTAAAATACTCTAGATTTTCTGATGATGTTTTTGGCCACGAGGCTTGAGTACTACACCATTACATAGAGCTTCGGTGGTCACTCCCATATGTAATCGGTGGCAATTTAGTTTGTTTTTCTTGTTATATTAATCATTTGTTGAGGCATATTTCTATTCTTGTGTAATTGATTTCTTTGTATGCTTCGTGGCTTACTTTAGATAGATGTCTAGGAGCCCGTTTGGCCAAGCTATCAAGAACTATTTATGTTGAAAAGTATTTTGTCCAAAGTATTTTTGTAAAATAGCAGTTTGTGTTTGGCCAACTCATTTGAGTAATACTTTTTGTAAGCAAATTGTGTTTGGTCAATCGTTACAAAAAGTATTTTTGAGTATCAAATTACGAAAAGGGACAATAAGGATTCAGTTTGTAATTAGTATTATTTAAAAAGAGATACACATTTAAATATTTATTATAAAGGAATTCAACTAAAATATAAAACATAAAGTAACAATATAAATTTAAAATTTTGATTAATATAAAATATATTTATTTCAAAACAATAATATCGGGTACCTAGTATTACTTACTAAACAGGATAATTTAAATATATCAAAATACATCATTCAATATAAATTAAAAATCTACTTTTATAAATCACGATATAAAAGAAGAGATCTATTTATAATAGAGAGAATATTCCAAAGAGGAAAGAGAAAGAGAATAAAAAAACTACAAAAATAAAAAAGAGAAGAAAGTTATGGTAAAAATTAAATTAATAAGGGATAAATTAAAAAATATAAATATATCGCAAGAATATTTTTGTCTTGCATAAATTAATTTTCTGCTTCTGCTTCTTGGAAGAAGCTAGAATTTGTAGGTTCTCCCCAAAAGCAAAAAAACTGCTTTCGCTGCTGCTCAAAAGTACTTTTTCATCTTGGCCAAACTTCTCAAATTTTTCAATAAGTACTTTTTAAAGCAAAAAAAAGTACTTTTAACCTCCAAGAAATTTGGTCAAACAGGCTCTAAGTATTTTTTTTAGAATATTCTTTTCGCCAAGGCTTATTTTATAATTGGGGAAAAGGCCCAAAAATGATTTTGTGATATTCGAAATGGATCAATTATAACCCCCGTTTAAACTTGAGTCCACAAATGACCCTGCCGTTATAGAATGGGTCTAATAATGCCCTTGTGTTATTCGAAATGGATTAATTATAACTCTCGTTTAAATTTGAGCTCATTAATGACCCTGCAGTTAAAGAATGGGTCTAATATTGCTATTTTTCTCAGTTAATAATGATTAAGGATATAAATGGATATTTAAAAACCGACTAAACAGACAAAACCGTACCGTGCCGAACTGATTTTTAGGTTTCTTTTATTAAAACCATAGGTTTTTATATAAATCTATAACCGTACCGATAATTAGGGTAGGTTTTTTATTTTATAAAAATAAACCGAAAAAATATCGAACCGTACCGAATAAATTTTCAACATGTCTTATCCTATCAAGTTTCTCTATCATATGTGATCATTTCTAGTCTAATCAAATTTTATATGAGAAGTGTTACAGAATAAAGAGAAAATGTTTCCTTCAACATGTATCCCATTGCGTAGCATTCATCAAACAAGATAGCAATGATAACGACCACAAATCTGTTGGTCCATGTAAAAAGGAGGAAAGATGAGAGAGTAGTTCTTGGTGAATTGATTATCAACAACGTCAACAAAGGCTCCTTATTTGAGAATCTCAGTGTATGAATAATATGGTATGTTTTAAATCAAAAAATGAATAGTATGGTATGTAATTATTTCATAGTAGAGGCAAAATATTCTACAATGTCTTATAGAATGTCATGGGATAATCTTCAGCATCTCCTGCAAAAATCGAAAGAATCTAGACATATTTTGAAACTAGGCGCATATTAACTGATAAGTTCATTAATTTTGTTGCATTTCAAAGGTCCATTATTTTTAGGTGCTCCTGCATTTTATCGTGTTTGTTTGATTAGTAACACAGGAAAATGATACCAAAAAACCATAGCCACCACCTTTCAGAAAGAATAGTTATCCGAATACAGTCCACAAGTTATCATCATAGGGAAGTTTATGAATAAAGTGGAGATCTTACAGAGATATACTGAATGACATCTGGATTTGCAACAATAGATGCAGAAATAAGNATAAAGAACTACATAGAATTAACATGGAAAAAGAACTAGTATGCAAGACTATCAGAATGGTTCTGTCGGTTTAATCGATTTTTAAATATCCATTTACATCCCTAATCATTACTAACTGAGGAAAATAGCAGTATTAGACCTATTCTTTAACGGTAGGGTCATTAATGGGCTCAAATTTAAACGAGGGTTATAATAGATCTATTTCGAATAACACAAGGGCATTATTAGATCCATTCTATAACGGCAAAGGTCATTTGTGGACTCAAGTTTAAACGGATGTTATAATTGATCCATTTCATATACCACAAGGTCATTTTTGAGCCTTTTCCCTTATAATTGCGATGACTTTTGTGAGTTTATTGTTTACTTAATTTTTGGGTAACTAATGGGATTCGAAAACAATTTTTCTTTTATTGATTAGTCAATAAACTATACTAGATAAATCTATGAACACCGTTAAGAGTATTTCTTCTGATGAAGAATGTTAACTATGAATCGTCCTAGTAAGACAATTCAATTAACCCTTGTGTTTTGAAAGAACTAGATAATGATCCTGCATATGCTTTGTAACTCACTTGTAAATTCAACAAAACTCACTAATCTTGCTTTGAATCTAAATGTATGCTCTAGCGATAATCTATACGATAGGATAAAAATCACACTCAAAGGCAGAATTTGTATAATCCAAAAGGAGCTTCGTCGGATAAAGACAGTGATACACCTTAGTTCCCCACACATGCTCAATCTACAAACTAATCACATTCAAAATACCTGTGGCATCCTATCAATATTTGTACAAAGTAGTTAAACTGTTCATATTCACCAAAAATAAAATTTAAAAAAGAAATAGGTCTCGTCACCAACATTAATCGCAAGGTAGTCATGAAGCGAGTCGACAATCCCATCATCATGCATAGCTAATATGCAAAGGCAGCCGGGCAGGTAATCTACCAAATAAACTTTCTTAACCTTCGAAGGTTATAGAAAAAATTAATTTGACAAAAAGCATTTAAGTATCATGTTTGAAGAACAAACAAAATTAAAAAAAATATATATTATAATGAATCAGCACTTTCGATTTTTCTCTCTTTTTCTGGTTATTTCGCAAACACTGTTAGAAAGATCAGTGAAAGTATCGTGTCAAAAACCAAATAGTTAAAATTTGACCGTAGTCCAAGTAATCCAGGCAGAGGCATCAAGATACATAACATAGAGCCGACTTATTTCACCAAAAAGGCACAACCATTTTGCAAGCACATCAATGAATCAAGAAAGTGAAAGAGACATTTTCTGCGCAGATTCTTCAAATATATAATTCTACTTTTGACGTGGGCAGATCAGCTTGCCCATGTTAACTATTACTCCTACTAATTACTACTAACTTTAGTCAGAAGGCTTCACTGTCCTTCTCCAACGTGAATTCTGCGTATAAATACAGCAGCAAGGATTCACATTTGATTCCTATTAGTTTTAAAGTATAAAATCTAGCAACGATTTCATAGAAATAAAGAAAAACATCTGATTAATGCATCTAACAATTATGAGCATCTCAACTGCCATTTGTTACAAATTACAACCAAAAGATGACGACCAAACAAGATTTTGAAAAGATAGAAAAATGGTAACAGAGACAGAAAGACTAACTTGTGCTTCTGTGTAAAAGCTGAAATCGAGTCAACACTAACACATGGAATATAGCAATAATGATCACTACCATGACAAATGTTCACAAAAATATAATTCTGTACATCAGCTAAACCCCACCCACCCACTCTTTCTAGGGGTTAATGAGAAAAATGGGTAAAAGCCGCCACTTGATGCTTTATTTTTCAACGCCCTACTCTTAGATTGAAGCACAACACAGATTAAGTAAAGCAGTACCCTTTTGATGGAACTACTGGTCGAGGTGCAGAAAGATGAAAGAATGCCTTACGAGAATGCGATTAGATGATCTCCGCCTTCTTGTTCTTGTGGAAGAGGCTACTCATCTTGATATCGAGCTAAAAGCTCAAAAATAATGTAATGAACCTCTAGTGGGTTGAACTAGGGTAAGCGGCGATAAAGGATTGTTGGAATGAAACTAATTTGCAATCAAAACTTTTGACTTGAGGAAATTAAGGCGGTTTTTAGTTAGAGTCAGCTTCTCTTCTGCCTCTGCCGCTTTTTCTCGGACACCACGAACAATATCCTCAGGAGCTTTCTCTACAAACTGCACATAGTAACTCTATAAGGTCCGTGACATAGAAAAGTGGAAATGGAGAAGCAAGACATAATACTGTAAGATTTTAACTATGTACTGTTTGAAATATTGAACATATCAAGAAAAAACTAGAAAGCCTCCTTTGCATCTGAGGTATTCCAATTTTCGTTCACAATAAAACTTTGCGTAGTTGCACCATTCTTGGTATATCAAATAGAAGTAATGGTATGTATGCACACAAATTAATAGTATAAAACTATCTTTTGATAAAGTAAATGGAAAAGTAAGACATTGTAAGACATCTTTATTTCTTAAAGTAAATGGAAAAGTAAGACATCTTTATTTCTAATTCGCAATATGTGGACGTATTTGCCACTAAGTACCATATTGCTTTTTTTATTTTTACTGTGAGGAATTAATTCTGAAGTAAATTTAAGTTTGCCATTCAATTTATTTATCCGGCAAAATGAGAAAATGGAGAACTCACACTTGAAGAACCCAAACGAGCCATCAGCCCATCATATTCAGCTTGCATCTTGACAAGGCGCTTAGAGAGACGCTG